TTCTCTTTCTCTTTCTCTTTCTCTTTCTCTTTCCTGTTTCTTCTTCCATAACACAGCTCAACAACATCTGTGTGGCTTCAGTGAGTAGAGCACATAGAGAGAGGGCTAGTTATTAATGGTTTGGATCCAATATTTACATTCCCATGCACTAACAGCTTACTGCTGCTGCCTATCCCCCTCTTTCTAAAATCTTCAGGCATAGGAATATGATGCTTTTAAAGTAAGAGATTGTTCAATGGAAAAAAGATATTTTCTAAAATTTAAAGTGTGCCAGGTTAAAAATTAAAAAAGAAATACTTTCCTCTAAAAAAGGTTGTCAGCGTTTGAAATACTGTAATACATTATTATCAAAACTTGAACTCATAGAAAGAAGGGAAAGTAGATTTGTGGGGTACAAAGTCCAGCTAAGAGACTTGGCTCTGCTTGTGCCACTGTTCAGTGTAAACTAATTGTTAACTGCTCACTGTGTAATTGTGATAATTGCATATATTTGAAGTAATGATAATCTTGGCTATGTTTATGGAAATTAGAATGCAACAGCTAGCCAGGTCAGTATTCTGGGGCTGCATATTTAGTCCATGTGACTTGTCAAGAAACCAGTAACTGCTGCTTTGTATTTCACAAAGCTGTAGTCTAGTTGTTAAGACATTGAATACATTGTTAAGAGCTAAAAGATAAGAGTTGGAAAGTTCTTCCTGTTTGTCCTGAACAAATGTTAGGTTTGTTTGCAATCAGATAACATATAGTAAAAATGGAAATCTCTCTCTTTAAAAAAAGTTTTATTACTTTAAAAAAACACTTCCAGCCTTAAATCAGGCATGGGTAATCGGTGGTCTCTGTTACAGACAGGCTCTTTCACTTTCTAAATGTGGTAGCTAAAAGTAGACATTACAGTAAAAATATATTGTTTTTTGCAATTTTGAATTGGGAACATACATATAAAATATGCAGCTAAGTCCTAAATTAGGCATAGCAGAAAGAAAAGGTTAAAGAGAATTTCCCAACCTTTAAAACCTGGAGGGAGCAGAAAGGAATGGAAAATCATAGTCTCACCAAGATAGGTGATGGGTCTCCACCCCCTGAAAGGCTTCCTTGTGACAGTAGACTATTAAAAGATTACCCACCCCATTCAGGGATCCTCTAATGGGAAGTGAGAGCAGCTCCATGAAGCGTGGTCAGAAAAAAAGTAGCATAGCAGATCTATGTAATTATTAGATAGAAAAAGTGTCCTGCAGGTTCAGAGAAAAGGATATGCTTGAATTAGTTCCTTGATGTGCAACAGATATAAGCGGGGGATTTTTGGAAGTGTTCTTTTCCACCCACATTTGAAGTGGTACTAGCCTGAACAAGTTTTATCTGACTCTTTTTTCTGAATGTTTAAAGTGCCTCCCCATCACTTAACAATGGAGCTGCTGATAGCTATGTTTCAATCCTTGTTGTCCTTCAAAGAGATCCATTAATAACCCTGTCAGCATCTTCCTTAATTTGCCTTATTCAGCTAATGCTGAATTATAAAACAAGTGAAGAGCTAAGTTATATCTACTGTAAGGTCATTTGTTCCTTTCAGAATCATCTCTTTTTTAAAAAAAGGCCACAGATACACTCTCAATTATTTTTGTGAGTCAGTTTCAGCCAAATTGTCATCATTAAAGAAATTATTAAAGACAACTAACCTGTGCAAAGCAGGTCAGGAGCCTGAGATGGGGAAATCTAGCCAGGCAACCATAGTTTTAATAAATTCAAAAGGTGTGCTCTATCCACTGATCCCTTTTATTAAAAAAAAAAAATTAATTATTGGGTGTAGTCTTTTGGTATGCAAAAAAAAAAATCTTGCCAATTCACTCAGTTCATATTTTTATTCTGCATATGATGCAATTAAATAGGTTTTGCTTTTTTCTTTTGTCATCATCACATTGTGTTTGTTTGTTTGTTTGCTTTCTCTTACTGCTAGCTGTCAGGTCATGAAAAGGTATGAATCTTAGAGTAGAACATGTCCCGTCTTTTAGTTGGATCATTTATGGTCAGAATGAGCTGCAATTTCTCCCTCCTGCTATCTTTCTCCCCCCACCCCCCCACCCCTGGTGTGTGTATGCAAGCGTGTTTAATGTTTACATTTGTATTAATTATATTAATTGGTCTTGATTTGAATCTTAAGATCCAGACATGTAGTAAGTGTTTTTACGATTAGCAGATGAATTTTGCATTGTGTTCAACAATATGTCCCTATTCAATTGAAGAAATGGTTTGATAAACTTGATGTGGCAAAACATTTATATAATTATTGTTTTATTTAACTTTACTCTGCTTAATTAATTAACAGAAGAAAACTCTAGATGCGTACAACAGTATTAACACTATGATATAACTTCAAAATGAGTAATCAGGAAAGTCCTCTTGCTATAATCGTTTACATATTATTTTGGAAAATGCTTGATGCAGAAATGGAAGATGTCTTCATTTAAACATTGTGATAGACCAACCTAGTTGCCTTGGTGGCTGAGAATGTTGGTAATTGTAATTCAGCTACAAGACTACGTTTCTTACCCCTAATTTAGATTCTGTGTATATTGGAATCCCTCTGAATATGTTTGCTGTGTCCAAAATTAAATGGCCACTTGATACAAAACAGCAAATTAAGCATTGAGGTCCATGGGTCAAAATGCATAAAGATGAAAAAGCAGTTTATGCTTTTCTGCTCTACCATTACCTTTAGAATGCTAAACATTAGGAAAATATTGGTATATATTCAACATTCCTGAATCAATATTGAGTGTATGCTTCTTAAAAGCTGGTTAGAGCTTGGCCTAGTCAATGGGACTTCATATGTAAGTGGGAATGTGAATGGACTTCCCATGTAAAAAGCATATATTATCATCAACATTTTTTTTTAATAAAGCTTTTTTCAGAGTAGCTTGCAGTAATATTTTGTTGCCTATTTTCCACATCTTGTAATAGCCCTGCTAATCAGTTTTTGCTGGAAAAAAATCATGCCAGGTGAATCTCTTGTTTTCCTGAGTTTGATGAGAAATGAGATCCTATCTGTGGCTTTTGGGTGCTTTGGGAGCATCTAGAGCTAAAGTGTTTTAAATTACAGCCTGGCAGATTGCTGATTTTCCTTATTGGTGGCAGGTCCTGCAACTTCATGAGAAGCTGCTCCCCGAAGTTCTGATAGTTGAGGTTGTTTTTTATTTTTTCATGGACAAGGCATTGTCTTGCCACTAGGAAGGATGTCAAAAATCCCCAGGGACACGGACTGTTTTGGGTCACAACACAGACTAGTTACATGGTATATAGTCCTGTGGAAGATGTAGCTGAAAGAGTGAAGCTCTGCAGGCCAGCCTTCAGAAAATATCCTGCATTTAGTAGAACTGCTTATGTATGAAAGAGCTATGTTGGAATTCAGTTTCCTAAGAATTTGTACCCCGTGATGATTCTGAGCATACTGATATGATGGTATCTTTTCCAAGTTGATCAACCCTGGACATTGTGAAGGAGGATTGCAGTTGTGTCAGGCATGGATTTCTAGCCCTGAGGCAGGACAAGGGAAGATAACATAGCTGAGGCTTGCATGATTTCTACACATGGGTTTAGTTACCAAGTTTGTGTTGTTTCAGCTTCAAACAGCAGCATCCCGAAGTTGTGTAGGTTCGAACACCTCAGCAGGAGTGAGCCGAGAGGAGGAAACCAGCCGCTTTCACAATACGAAGAGAGGAAACTTCCATGAAGTATTTAATTTATCAGAACATGAGCGTCCATTGGCAGGTATTCACACAACTCTAAATCTTGGTGGTAGACCCAAAGGCCCATAAAGTAGCATTATTCAGAAATGAATGATATTATAATGTTACCTGCTGTTGGATTCCATGGGCAGGAGGTCAACATTAATCTTTTATCTTGCAGTCAACAGATTCTCTGTGCAAAAGTTATGCCTGGTTTGACCTCTGTGGGAGGGAGGAAATGGAGGATAAGCTTGTCAGAGGAGTAACTTCACCCTAGCTTGAAACATATACTTCAGTGTTTAGAAGAGTTTGTATGCACTTTCAAGATTTAGGTTCTCTTGTTTTGATAACTTCAAAAGGAAAGACTTACCAGTGTAAATCAAAGTTTATTGAAGATTTCACTCTTTCTTTATGAAAATATCTTCTTTGTAGGAGCTTGTTTGCCCACTCTGTGTATAGAGTTTTAGGTGTATCTGAAATATACCAATATTACAGCTGCTTACACTATACAAATAAAATGGACTAATTGTACTATTTTGATAGTGTGTGAAAATGGCTGGCGCTGCTGCTTGATCAACAGAGATAGGAAGATAACCACTGATTACATTAGGAATGGAGTTCTCTATGTTACAGAAAAGTAAGTCTTTGCATGATTTATGACAGAATGTTAAAATTACAGCTACTAAATCTGGGCTGCAAAAATTTGGAGGATCACTAGTTGGCAATAAAGAGCTGCTTTTCCCCCACCGCCCAGTGTTGTCCAGATTTCTGCCGCCCAGATCTGGTAGCTCTATTTAAGTGGGAAAAAGAAGAAGTTAACAGTGTTTTTGTAAACTGTAAAGAAAGTAACTTTCAGAGTCTTTTGAAAATCCATTAAAATGTCCACATTGCTGAAGAGGAAGGTTGAAGATGTTTGCCACAAGCCCTTATGAGCAAGACTGAGATATAATCTAGACATTAATGGAAAAGAATGTTATGCAAGGCTCTACAAAAGAGTGAACTTGTTTTCAGTGGGTTTTCCTTAGATGAGATCTTCATTGGTTTGCAAGAGAGCAAATTCACGATTAATATGTGGTAAGGGAGAAAGCCAGTTTGGGGTAGTGGTTAAGGCATCAGGCTAGAAACTGGAAGACCATGAGTTCTAGTCCTGCCTGAGGCACAAAGCCAGCTGGGTGGCCTTGGGCCAGTCACTCCTCTCAGCCCTAGGAAGGAGGCAATGACAAACTGCTTCCAAAAAACCTTGTCAAGAAAATTGCAGGGACTTGCCAGGCAGTCGCCAGGAGTGAAAAACTGCCTCAAAGGCAAAAAGAAAAAAAGTGATAAGGGCATGTCATGTAAGAATGCCAGAAAATAAGTGAATTGGACTAATTGGATCAGACAAGAGGTACCAAGCTTCAAACATAATATCTTGTTCATAGATTAGCCTTTGATTGCTCTCAAAGGTGGAAGGTTGTCAAGTCAAGCTTCAGTTAAAGAATGAATTGAAGGGTCTGAATTACTGTAGCTTTCAAAAATAATGAAAAATGCTGCAGAAATAACTTTCGACAAATCCTTATGCATTTCCAATGTAATCTATCCATGCCTCCAATGTAATCTATCCATCAGTATAATCTATCAGATGTTAAAATCATCTTGAAATATACAGCATTTTATTTATTTGTCTGTGTGTGTGTGTGTGTTTAAAGGTTCAACTTAATGGCAGTGTTTTAAATCATTTTGTTTTTTTTACTATTTAATTTATGTTCTTTCTTTTCTTGCCTTTAGTTACTTATGTTTTGAAAGTTCCAAATCTGGTTCATCTAAAAGAAACAAAGTTATAAAACTAGCAGATATAACAGATATTCAAAAGGTAAGTCTTTGATGTTTCTTTAGTGTTTTGCTTTTAACTCCTTTTATGTTGAAGAAGCTTATATCTATCATGTCATGGTAAAAATTTCCATTTTAAAATACTGTATTAAATAGCAAATGGATACAGTGAAATCCTATAAAATATAAATCTCAGATTTACTGGGAGTTATTTTCTCTGATTAGGACTAAAAAGCACATCCATTCACAGCTGCCACCTGGGACATTAAGGTCCAAAAACCTGTGATTTCTGGCTAGTATGACCTGATTTAGCATTAGCTGTAGGACTGTCCAAGAATAACAGGGAAACAGTCCAACTGAGTTCAGTTCTTTTATTGCTTATACCATATAGACAGAATCTTGCCAGACTAAATCTGTACTACTGCAACTAGTAGATATACCGTGGGAGATTCTAGGGAGTGGCTGTCCTAAATCGCTTACACTTCCCACGCTCCTGCTCCAGACTCTGTTATCTCTTGTCTCTCTGCCCTTCCTGGAATGCACCCCCTCCTTCCTGAGAACCTTGCTCTCCCCTGCAATCCACCATAGTACATGCCTCAAAAATAAGTTGGAAGGAGTGCTTCAGACTTTCCCCAAGTGTGACCACAGCACCTCTCTGCTATTCCTTAAGTGGGCTGTAATTTTTTTTCCAGAATTCTGTGCAAGCCTGAAAAAAAAAAGATGTAGTTGCTAAGCTATACTTTTTTTCAGGATCCCAAAGAACCTTGAAAACAAAGAGGAACAGTTTTAGTGAATAGCGGTGATTTGCTATGCTCATTTGAGGCCTGAAATAGTTTCTCCAAATAATTGCTAAAGAGTGTACAGCCATAGTAAATTTTGCCCCTACTTGTGAATTAATTTTTCTGCTGGTCAAAAGCCTCTTTTCTTTCCTGAGATTAAATTTAATCAAGATTAAGTCTATATTGGATTAACACCTGGAGATGGTGAGGGTCTGGAGGGGGAAGAACAGACTGTGGCTCAACCCTGGCAAGACTGAATGGCTCTGGTTTTTGGGGGCCCTGGATCTGGAGACCTCCCATCTCTAATTCTGGTTGGGGTAGTATTTCCCCAAACAGATTTGGTGCATAATCTGGAGGATCTTCCTAAACTCACGGTTCCTGCTCAAGGAGCAGGTGGCAGCCATTCAGGCCTTCACAAATTCATCTTGTGCACTTGGACCTGTTCCTGGATTGGGAGGCTCTGCTGATGGTCATGATACTGTAGTTAATTCTTGATTGGCTTGCTGTATTATGCTTTACAAAGAGCTGCCCTTGAAAACTATTTGGCAAGTTTGGCTGGTGCAGAAGTGTGCACAGTTGGGGGAGCATCAAGATTCATCCATGTGGCATCACTGCTGCACAAGTGGTACTATCTCCCAGGAGTCTTTTGGGTGCAATTCAAGGTGTTGATTACCACCTTTAAAGCCTTGCATGGCACAGGGCCAGTTACTTGCACAACTACCTATCTCTAGTGGCTTCAGCTCATCCTACCAGATCTGGCAGGATGGGCATGCTCTGAGTCCCTTCTCTGAAACAATGTCACATAGTGTCAGCCTTATCAGATAGACCAGACAGGAAAACAACCAGATAAACTAATTTTACTTTATTGTAAAGCTACATTAACAGAATCTTGCAAGTCTGAAAGTACAATTCTCCTGCCTTCGCCTTTATAGCCCGAGAACTTAGGGAGGGTCCCTTCTGAGCCTCTTGCTCTGCCCACTATCCAGCTGCAGGCTATGCTGTCTCTTATCTGACCATTCCCTAGGCAGCATCTCTTCGCCCTGCCTCCCAAGGTCTTTCCCACGTACTATTACACATAGCGAGACCCAGGAGATGTGCCTTTTTTGTCACAGTGCCTGACCTTTTTTTTTTTTTTTAGTAATATTTTATT